TGGCCTCCAACCTAATTAATAGCAATGGCCTCCAACCTAATAGCGATGGCCTCCAACCCGTCCCAGCATGCTTGGGCCTCATCAAAGATTGCCTGCTCATCAAAGCCAAGATCGAAGTAGTGGTTGATGTTCTGGCACGCGAAGCGAGCCCGGAAGTCCTTCAGACCCCGATCGGAAGCGCTACCGCATGTTTGGCTGCCATGCTAACCCATGTTTACCATTGCGTGTGAGCAAGTCGGAAACTCTGGGAAGATGGGCTCTTTGGCATCACTAAACCTTGTCTGGCAGCTGGCGCTTTGTCACACACACAACCGACTTCGGAGGATGCAAGCAATTGTCCTGGATCATGCCTTTTTGGTCTGCAGACATTTGGTTTGTGCTTTGGGACTGGCAACACCTCGTCAATCTGAAAGTAGCAAGCTTGAAGTGTGTCCGGATTCTAGCTGAAAGTCCGGGTCCTCAAACATCCTGCTACCCAAAATTACACCAGCATAGACCCAGATAGCTAGGCAGAATCCCACGACCTGTTGACATGCGACTGGCTGGAACAAGAATGTACGCAGCCTGCACAGCCAGCTTACGGCACCTCCACAGCGAGCACAACCAGCTGACACCAGCACCGGTGCGCTTTGCCAGCTGACAACACTGGGAGTGGCACCAGCACCCGACCAGCGCCGCCGCCCGTCTTAAACGCGCGCTCAGCCAGCTCACAGCACCAGCACCCAGGACCACAACACCAGCACCAGCGCCGACACCCTTTCGAAAGGTCGGCAGCTCATTCTTATTTGCAGTAAGAACCCCATAGCTATCCCTATTTGGGGAATAACAACGTAGTATCTTGCGCGCATAAGTTTATGCGCACAAAAAGTATGCGCGCAAACAGCAAAGCCCGTAAGTGTCATTGGCCCAAGGCCAAGCAGTATCCAGCGCCACTATATTGACTTTGTAGCACTCCTGAAGCAACGATCTGAAGAACGATAAGGCCGTATGGTCTTGCGCGTATAAGTGTATGCGCACAAAAGTATGCGCACAAAGCACAAACGGCAAAGCCCGTAGGCTTCACTCGCCCAAGGCCAAGCAGTATCCAGCACGACTATTGTGTGCGTAGCATGCTGAAGCACGCTGAAACAATGGTCGGTTGAGAGCCTGACGTTGCGCATAGAACATTATACGTACAAAAGTACGCGCGCAAACAGTACAGCGGTTGACACAGCTGTCGGCCAAAACAGAACCTGAAGAGTGTAAATACCCCACAGCGCTAATAGACGAAGAGCCCTCAAGCGACACACCGTATGATGTTGCGTGCACAAGTTCATGCGGCCCATGACTGCTGGCACTTCGGCTGTTGGTTGGTCGCCCTTCACTGCTACAAGCGGCAGGTTGTCACCCTTCACTGTCAGAAGCGGCGGTTGTTTTCACTTCACTGTCAGAAGCGGGCACCAGTACCGAGCACCGGCGCGCCAGCTCACGGCACCTAGCACCAGCACCGAGCACCAGCACCCGAGACCCTGTCTCCACCACGTGCACAGCCGGCACCCAGCACCGGCACCCAGTCTCCACCACGCGCACTGCCAGATCACAGCACCCAGCACCAGCAGCACCAGCACCCGCTGTCTCCACCACGCGCACTACCAGCACCCAGCACCGGCACCCTGTCTCCACCACGCGCCCAGCCAGCTCACAGCACCACCAAGTGCACAGCCAGCTCACAGCACCAGCACCGGCACCCAGCACCAGCAC